GGAAAGTAAACAAAGGTTTGCAGCACCACGGGTAACGTGTATTTGAGAAAATAGCTGAGTTTTGATAAGAACAGCAACATCTGTGGTACTTTAACTTACTCCAGTCCTATTCCCTGTTCCTTAGCTTAACACTACCTGTAAAATAACAGGCATGTTCTTGATAATGAAGGAAGCAGAATGAACTAATTTGCAAAGGATTGTAATTATTTGTTCTGACCTGTCCATAAGCTTCCTCCTGGAAGATGGTTCAAAAGGCTTGTCTTTATTTTGCCTAACTCAAAGCAGGCTTATTCCCAAAATCTACCTGCCTGGAGGCATTCGTTGAAAAACCGTAACAGGCAAATATCATAGGTACTGCTGCCTGAGTTGACAGAAAAAAGTTGGGCAAACAATAGATTAGCCAAAAAGGTTGGGGGAAAGGCTGAGGAATGAGATGCTTTGACATTCCGGAAAATCTAGGCCATGTGCAAGCTTAGGGTTGTGAGCATGCTCAGGAAAGATCTGAGAACGATCTACGTTCTCACCTGCTGCTGACCTTGAGGCTCTTTGGAAGCAGGAAGTAAAGGCTAAGGTAGAGTTGTAAACTGCCTGTCTTGAGTGTGGAAGGTAAGCTCCAACACATACACCAAGACCATGTCAAAGACTGGAAGAATTTTTGGCTCCCAGCATTTAAGGAAATCTCTGTCCAGTTATTAGCTTATCACTAAGCTAGTGGAAAAGACTTCAACGGCCACACAGGGCAAAAAAAAAAAAATAGAGTTTATAGAATTAGTTCAGAAAAGTAACTAAACAAAAAGTACAATAAGCTCAATATAACAATAAATCTTGGAAAGGGGAGAGAATTTAATATCCAGAGTTGCCAATTTATAATATTCACAATATCCATTCTTCAACAATAATTACAAGGCCTGCAATAAAACAATATAGTATGGCCCATATAAAGGAAAAAAAGAAATAAACAGAAACTGTGCCTGAGGAAAACCAGACAACAGACTTTCTAGACAAAAGCTTTAAATCACCTATTTAAAATATGTTCAACAAGCTAAAGAAAACCATGTCTAAAAAATTATAGGAAGGTATGAGAACAATGTGTCACCTAATTGATATCAATAAATTGATAGAAATTATTAAACAAAGAAAACAGAAATTCTGAGGTTGAAAAGTACAATAACAACAGACTTGAACAGGCAAAAGAAAGAATTGTTAAACATAAAGATAGATTCATTGAGATTATCTGGTTTGAGGGCAAAAAGAAGTAAGAATAGAGAGATAAATAAAAGCCTTTTAGTCTGTGGGATGCCATCAAGTTTATCAATACATGCATAACGGAAGTGACAGAAAGAGGAAAAGGAAGAGGAGGACGTGGAATGATGGTGGGAGACAGGGGGAGGAGAGAGAATATTTGAAGAACAATTGTCAAAAACTTCTCAAATTTGAAGAATAATGAACTCCAAAAGGATAAACTAAAGAGATCCACACCTACATACATCATAATCAAACTATCAAAAGCTAAAGATGAAGAGAGAATCTTGATGACAGGAAAGGAGAAGCAATTCATCATTTACAAAAAAATCCTCAGTAATATTAACATCTGATTTCTAATCAGAAGCAATGGATGCCAGTAGATAGTGGATGACATATTCAAATTGGTGGGGGGGGGGGAAACAAACTGTCAACCAAAAATTATCAGGCAAAACTATACTTCAAAAATGAAGGCGAAATCAAGACTTTCCCAGATAAACAAAAAGTGAGAGAGTCTGTCGCTAGCAAACCAGCCCTACAAGTGCTAAAGGGAGTCCTTCAGAAAAAAATGAAGGGACAATAGAAAGCAACTCAATGGAATGTGAAGAAATAAAACCACGAAAGGCAACTATATATAGATAAATATAAAAGACAGCATAAGGTATTTTTGTTTCTAATTCCTTTTCCTTTTTATATCATTAAAAGAAAATTGCATAAAGCAATAATTATAAATCTAGGTTGACAGGTACACAATATATAAAGATTAAACCCATGACAATAACAGATTATATGGAAAAAAGTTTTTGTACACTGTTCAAATGAAACTGGCATTAATCCTAACTAGATTGTTCTAAATTAAGATGTTCACTATAATCCCTAGATAAAGGGATGTCTGCACAAGGACTTGTGTGACTTGTGTGTGAATGTTCATAGTTAGCATCCTTATTTATCCCAGCCCCAAAGTGGAATCAAACTTAATGTCCACTAGCTGATGAATGGATAAACATTATGCAATACATCCATACAATGGAATATTATTCAGCCATAAGAAGAAATGAAGTACTGTTAAATACTACAACAGAGATGAACCTGGAAAACATTATGCCAAGCCAAACACAAAAGGCCACATATTGTACAATTCCAATTACATGAAATGTCTAGAATAGGCAAATCCACACAGACAGGAAGTAGATTAGTGGTTGCCAGGAAAGAAGAGGGCAAAGAATTGGATCTAAATGCTAACAAGTAGAGTTATTTAACAAAAAAAATAAATAAAATTTTTTGGTGTGATGAAAATGTTCTCAAATTAGACAGTGGTAATGATTATACAACATAGTGAATAGACTAAAACCAATGAAATGTGCACTTTTAAGTGGTGAATTTTATGTTATATGAAGTGTATCTCAATTAAAAGTGCTATAAAAAGCCTATTGCATACATCATCATACCTAATAGTGAAATGATAAAAATTTAAGAAGTAATTTTAATGATAAAATAAAAAAAAAATTTAATGATGAAGGTTTTCTTTGAGATTGGAAATGAAACAAGGATACTTATCATCATCACTCCTGGTTTAAATGTATTGGAAATCCTCAGCACAAAAAAGAAAAAAGACATAACATTTAGAGAAACTATTAGAATTTTTAAAAACTAGCAAGATTGCTGGATACAGGTTATTATACAAAAATCAAATGCATTTTTATATGTCAAATAGTTAGAAAGTTGAAATTTAAGAAACAATATCATATACGTCATTAAAAACACTAAATACCCAGTTATAAATCCAAGAAAAAAATGTGCAGTATGTACACACAAAAAGCTGCAACACATTATTAAAAATACTTCTGAAGATCTAAATGGATTTATTCCTGGTTTGTACAGTCAATGCTGTATGGATGCCAGTTCTTCCAAAATTGATCTACATATCCAATGTAATCCCAGTTGAACATCTCAGCTGAATAATTTGTGGAAAATGACAAATGGCTTTTAAAATTTATGTATAACTGTAAAGTAGCAGTCTTTTAGAAAGAGAAAAAAGCTGGAAAATTACTGTACCAGATACCTATTATGAAGCTACGGTAATTAATACTGTGGTGTCAGCACAAGGATGGACAAGTAGATTAGCGGAACAAAGCAGAAAGTCTGGAAACACACCCACACAGTTCTAAACACTTGTTTTATAATAATGGTGCCATTTGTAGAGCTGTAGTAAGCAGTTTTTTTCATTAATTGGAATTTGGTCAATTGGTTTGGAAAACTTATGAAAAAAAATTAAACTTGATCATTACTTCTCACCAAACACAAAAATCAACTCTGAGGGGTTACTAATCTGAAATATAAAAAGTAGAATATTAAGGTTCTAGAAGGATTTGGAAATATCTTTATGACTTTCATTTAAGAAAATATTTCTTAAACACAACACAAAAAAACACCAAATAAAGGAAAGGAAAAGACTGATGATTAAAATTAGTAACTCTGGTCATCGAAAAACACCAGTAAGAGAGTGAAAAGGCAAGCCAGCATGGGAGGAAATATGTGCAAGACTCACTTCTAAAATATATAAAGAACTCTTTACAAATCAGTTTGAGAAAACACAGGCAACCCAATAAGAAAAGGCTTGAAAAGGCACTTCACTTTGGAAAAGATCAATGTTCAATAAACATAAAAGGTATTCAACCTTATTCATCAAAGGATATATAAATTAAAACATAATTAGATATCACATACCTACCAGAATGACTAAAATATAAAAGACAACCAAGTGTTGGCAAGGATGTAAAGTAACTGGAATTTTCATATCTTGCTACTGAAGTATAAATTGATACAAACAACCCCCCCCACACAAACTGTTCAGAAATATTTATTGAAGTTGACTCTGCAACTTAACTCCAAAAATAGTGTACTATAAGTACAATAATGTTCACAGGAAAATTATTCCTTATAGTCCCAAACTGGAAACAATGCAAATCATCAATAAAAATAAACTGTGCTATCTGTATTTCTAAATGGACTATTATACAGCCATGAACACTGCTACACACAATAGTGGATAAGTATCACAAATATAATATTGAAGAGGCAAGCAGATGCAAAAGAGTACACATGGGATGTGCTCTGGACTGAAGGTTTGTGTCCCCCTCGAATCCATATGTTGAAATCATAACCCCTAATGTGATATTAGGAGGTGGGGCCTTTGAGAGGTGATTAGGTCATAATGGTGGAGCCCTCATGAATGGGATCAGTGTCCTTATAAAAGAGACCCCAGAGAGCACTCTCACCTCGTCTGCCATGTAAGGATACATCAAGAATACTGCTATCTATGAATTAGGAAGAGGGCTCTCACCAGACACCAATCTGCCAGTGCCTTGTACTTGGACTTCCCAGTCTCCAAACTGTGAGAAATAAGTGTTTGTTGTTTCAGCCGCCCAGTCCATTATATTTTTGTTACAGCAGCTTGAATGAACTAAAACAGGATGATACCATTTATAAATGTCAAACAGAAGGTAAAACTAATCTATGGTGTTAGAAGTCAGGTTAATAATTATCTGGAAGAAAAGGAAAGTAGTGACCAAAAGGAAGCATGAGGGAGGCTTCTAGAAGCTGGCAATATTCTATTTCTTGACCTTGGCAATGGTTAACATGGTTTACTTATGATAGTTCACTGAACTCACTGAGATACATAGCTGGATATCTGCATTTTATGTACGTTTCTCCATGTATTTTACACAATTAAAACACATTTTTAAAAGCTTATTTACCTGTTTTTTCTGTGATCTATTCCTGTTTTCCAGCCAATCATCCATTTGTTCCTCAATTTCTTCTATAGAAGTTCCATGATCATATGACTGAATATATGCACTTTCTAAAGGTGTATACACAGGAAATTCAGGTTTTGGTTTTTTTACTTTAACTTTCTTCTGCTCTAAAAAAAAAAAGTTTAAAATAACCAGTTAATAAAAGAATAAAAAGAATTTCTAACATTTTATTCATAAACCATATATTGAAAGAACACATATTGTTTTTCATCAAAATATTTAATGGTGTTTTAACATGTGCATTATTCACGGCATTGTTTTAAAATAAAACTCAGAGATGTTAATGATGAATGCTGATTATGATACAACCACCATATCAATGTGCATACAGTTTTAATTTTCAAAGTTCTTTCGGGCCGGCTGAGTGGTGCGTTGGTTAAGAGCTGGCTTGGGACGCCAGCTCTGAGCAGCAGGGCCCTGGTTCGGATGCCACATGGGGCCAGTGACACTGCCCTCTACAGCTAAGATGCTGAACAACAGCTCAACCTGGAGCTGGGCTGCTGAGAGGCACCGGCGATGGCGTAGGCTGCAGCCCCTGCTGCAGTGGGCTTCCATAAACTACTGTGAGCGGCCGGCAGCCAGCAGCTGCCAAGAGCCACCGAGAGCAGCCGTCCAGAGGCCGGTGACCGATGAGACCCAGAGGCCTCATCTGGGAAGAGCGCAATGATCACAATACCAAAATGGGCCAGTGAAGCAACGTCCTCCACAACTAGCCTGAAGAACAAAAGGACAACAACTTGTCTATTCCCCTTCCCCAATTCCACAACGCTGGTCCCCTCCCCCAACTCCCCAATTAAAAAAAAAAATCTTATAAAAAAGTACTTTCCACAAAACATTTCATTTAGGCACAATAGGAAGAGCCATTAGTCATTAGTGTTTTAATCCTACCTTTACCACCTAATAGTTACATACATAATACTGGGCAAGTAATTTAACCCTTAAAACAAGTGTCCATTTTCTCATCTGTAAGAGAGCTAAATCTGACCTCATGAGGTTGATGTGTGAAAAATTATATATCCCCTAACATGCTACTTGGCATAAAATTGGCTCTTAATAAATGGTATACAGTCACCTTTTCAATATTTTACCAAGGCAAAATTAATCTGGAAGCATCAGGGGTAGTTATCAATAGATAGTTATCAACTGGCCTCTTCATTAAATCCCTTTTTTTTTTTTTTTTTTTTTTTTTAAGATTTTTATTAGGTAATTGGGGGGATGGGAACAGTGCTGGGGCAGTGTCACTGGCCCTCATATGTGGGATCCGAACCGGGGCCCTCTGGCGTCCCAAGCCAGCTCTTAACCATCGCGCCACTCGGCCGGCCCCATTAAATCCCTTTTTGATTAGAGAATTAACACTGAGAAGCAACTCCATTCTTAATTACTATTGTCAAACTCACCTAGCCTTATAACCTTATTTTTACCATCGCGCGCGTGTGTGTGTGTGTGTGTCTGCATGTAATATAATACCAATATAACAAAAGTAATATATTTCCAAATGAATAGACAAGTCCTAGAAGAGAACAGAAAATCTATAATATAATTTCAATGCAGTGGGAAAGAATTTAATAAATGATGCCAGCACGACTGACTATCCATTTGAAAGAAAAGTGGACACAATCTTACACCATTTACAAAAATAAATCCCAGTTGGATAAGAGATTTGACTAAAACAAAACAATAAAAACTTGCAAAAAGAAATCTAAAAAACTACCTGTACTATTTATATAAAGAAAGGAAATCTTAACTAAGACTGAAAACCCAGATGCTATCAAAAAGATACATGATAGAACAAAAGAGAGAAATACATAATAGATTTGGAAAGAATATCTATAATTCAGGGTACAAACAGAAGATTAATATATACAATATATATAGAGATCTTATAAACTGACAAGGGAATAAGCAACCCAATAGAAAAAATGGCAAAAATAATGTACATTAAAAATACATAAAACAAGTAAGTGTTAGTGAGGCTGTGGAGAAAATGGAACCCTTGTGCACTGCTGGTGGGACTGCAAAGTGGTGCAGTCATTATAGAAATCAGTATGGAGGCTCCTCAAAAACTTAAAAATAAAACTAACTTATGACTCAGCAATTCCACTCCTGGGTATTTATCTGAAGAAATCCAAAATACTAATTAGAAAAAAATATATACACCCCTATGTTTACTGCAGCGCTATTCACAATAGCCAAGATAGGGAAACAACCAAAATGCCCATCAACAGATGATTGGATAAAGAAATTGTGGTACATTTATACAATGGAGTCTTACTCTACCATAAAAAAGTATGAAATCTTACCATTTGCAACAACATGAATGGACCTAGAAGATATTATGCTAAGTGAAATAAGTCAGACTGAGAAAGACAAATACCATATGATCTTACACTGGAATCTAAAGAACAGGATAAATGAACAAACAAAAGAGAAACAGACTCATAAATACAGAGAACAAACTGATGGTTGCTAGATGGAAGGGGGTTGGCGGGGTGGGTGAGAAAGGTGAAGGAATTAGGAAGTACAAATTGGTAGTCACAAAATAGTCACAGGGATGTGAAACACAGTATGGGGAATATAGTCAATGGTATTATAATAGCTATGTACTGTGTCAGATGGGAAGTAGACTTGTTGGAGTTACCACTTTGTCAGGAGTGTAAATGTCTAATCATTATGTTTTTTGTACACCTTAAACTAATATAAAAAAAAGAATACAGCTTTAGTTAGACAGAACATTACCTTAACTGGAAATATTGTGGGATCTACTACTACATTTTATTTTATATTGCTTCAATACCTTAATACTTCCAGGCGTTTGAGTTGATGACTTAATCCTATTCCTTAATGTGATATTTGTAGGTGGGGACATTGAGAAAAAAACTCTGACACCATAATAGGAAATTAGCAAGTTAAATGACATGGGAATCTAATATAAAGGTATCAAAAATCTAACATAGTGTCACCAGAGTACCATAAGAGCCCAAATGGGAGGCCAGATTTTTCTTTGTTTTTAAAAACTATTTTTCAGAAAAGAGGAAGAAGCTATATAATTGATTTCTTATGAATTGTTACATTACTTGGCTTTGCTCAATTTAGTTTGCACAACAAAGTACTGCTAAGGATCAACACACATAATCTAGAAAACATCTCATCAGTACTAATTTTGGCTGTTTACAGAGAATCAGTTATAAAAAAAAGTAGCAAATAAATCTGGTTGCTTGTATTTATTTCTGGGGGTGTTTCATCACAATTACAATTGTTTGATGTCTTTTTAAATTAGCATGTAAAATCACTTTAAAAAAGTAATAAGAAACTTCTATTTTTGGATAAAAGGAGGAGAAGGACTTTTACATAGTCCCCCCACTAAGAAAAACCAATAATCCTAAAAGTTATATATGAAACAAACACAAGAAGAATCTGAATGTTGGAGAGAAGAAGACAGACCAGCGAGGCATGGCAGGACCCAATGAACACCAAGGTGGTGACTTCCCTGGGTTTTCTTTGGGCCTCATGTATCCTAGGAACATTACATAATGATGAAAAAGGTCAATCCACCAAAAAAACATAGCAATCCTAAATGTGAATGTATGCACCAAACAACAGAGCTGCAATACACATGATGCAAAAAATGATGGAACTAAAAAGAGAAATAGGCAAATTCGTAATTAGTTCAACATCCCTCTCTCAACAATTGATGGGATAGCTAAACAGAAAATCAAAAAGGATACAGAATAACTCAACTATACTATCAACTAACTAGATCCAATTTATATTGATAGAATATGCCATTAAACAACAGCAGAATACACATTTTTTTCAAATGCTCATGAAACATATGCTAAGATAGACCATATCTTGGATCATAAAGCACAACTCAAAAATGTAAACAAACTGAAATCATGGGCTTTCCAATAAAAATTGAATCAAACTATAAATCAGTAACAGAATAATAACAGAAAAATCCCTGAACACTAAACAACATACTTCTAAATAATCTATGTATCAAAGAGGAAGTTTCAAGGGAAAATAAATGAAAATACATGTCAAATCACGTGGGACACAACAAAACAGTGCTAAAAGTGAGATTTATAGCACTAAAAGCTTTATCAGCAAAGATGAAAAGCCTCAAGTCAGTAATCTAAGCTTCCACAGCAAGAAACAAACAATAAACAAAAAGGATTAGAAGAAGCCCAAAAGAAGCAGAAGGAAGAAAAGGAAGAAAATAATAAAAACAAGAACATTGGTTAAGAGCTCACTCAAGAGTTTGAGTTCTGAGCAACAGCAGTTCGATTCCCGGCCCGAGCTGAGCTGCCAACAGGTAGCAGGATGGCTCAGCTTAAAAAAAAAAAGAACAGAAATGAATGAAATTGAAAACAAAGGCAATAGAGAAAGAAAATCAGTGAAACAAGAAACTGGTTCTTTGAGAAGATCAATAAAACAGACAAATGTGACAAAGAAAAAACAAAGAGAAAACAAAAGTTATCAATATTAGTATTGAAACAGGAGAAATTACTAAAGGACATGCAGACATCAAAAGGATAATGACTGAACATTAGGAACAACTCTATGCACATAAATTTGATAATTTAGCTGAAGTGCCTAATTGCTCAAAATATACAAACTACCCCACTTCATTCATGAAATAGATATATGAAGTAGATATTTGAAAAGCCTTTTAACTATAAATAAAATTTAATTTATAATTTAAAAACTCCTAAAAGATCTAGGTTTAGATGGTTACACTAGCAAATTATACCAAATGTTTAGAGAATTAACACCAATTCTACAATTTCTTTCAGAAAATAGAACACTTCCTCATTCATTATGATGCTAGGATTACCCTGATACTGAAATCATACAAAGACAGTACAAAAGAGAAAACTATAGACCAATATCTCTTATTAATATAGAGGCAAAAATCCTTAAAATATTAACAAATAGAATTCAGCAATATATGAAAAGAATTGTACACCATGACCACGTGGTATTATGGCAGGTATGCAAGCCCGGTTCAATATTCAAAGTTCAATCAGTGTAATCCACCACATTAACAGGACAAAGAAGAAATATCACATGATTATATTAATTGATGCAAAACAATTTAACAAAA